TCACACAGTGACCCCGTGTAACCTGGGTAACAGAGAGAGGTTAGTCTGACACTTACGGCGAGCAATATCACACAGTGACCCCGTGTAACCAGGGTAACAAAGACAGCTAAAACCCGTTGCTGTTGAGGCAATACACTTTCCCTCGTTTTTACATGGTGATATTCTGAAAAAAAAAAGATATATTAACTAAAACAATACTAAAATTCCTAGTTTGCCATTCAAAGACGTAAAAACTGTCCACAACCTCTATAATCAGAAAATGATACATTGTGAATTATGACTGAGTTTATGCCTCAATCCTTAAAGAAAATGTACGGAAGACAGCCATGAAAGAAGTATCAAAGAATACAGGAGAACAGAAAGCTAACCATGAAATATAAAGACAATATGTCACAAGTAACACCATGAAAAAAAGAACTCAAACCTGAAGCGAAAAATCATAAAAGAGTATACAAAACGATCGAAGTGTACAGTATACGAGCCTTTAACAATACCAGACACTGTAATCACAGGTAGAATTGAGGTCATGATGACAGCTAATGTATCTTCTATAGAACACCCGAATTATGGCATGTTGCAGAATCATCCAGAAAATCAGCGCTCTTACAGGCGTTGATGCATAACGAAAAATTATACATCCTCAAAATAAAACTGATGAAACAGGCTTTGTAGTAGATCCTATAATGCGTAAATAGTTGACTTTGGTGTGTAGCGTGGGAATGAAGTCCCTGTCGAATGAATTAGCTTTAACTCACATACAATACAAGATAAATTAGGAGTTACCTGGTTATTGAGATACCACAATGGACTATCATTATTCTGTAAACTGTAAGATGATTGATGCATACAGTTGCATAAAAGGTGTATGTGCATACTTTATATTGTGACCTTTAGATACAATGTTCTGCTTGTACAATAAAACAAACGACACGAATTCTGCCAACTTACGGCTGTTGACAGGGGTGAGAGGAAACCACTTGTAACGCTAGTACTGAAGTTGAGGGATCAATGGTAGTTGCTGGGAAACACCCTCCGGGGAATCCACCACATCGACCTTCGTAGATCTGTCTAGCACCTGCCATCATAAACTTAGATATACTACATCTTGGATATTTACCGAAATGACGAAATGAAAAAGATTCTTATTACTCTGAACTCAATCGAACTGAAGCACATTTTATGGCAGCAAACTCGTCAACCTCTCTCTCCCTCAACCTAAAATATATATGTGGGTACCGTAGATCTTTTTGACAGTGTACATATGACGAAATTGCCACAAAGCAGCCGTTCCTTTACTTTTTGGAACTTTCAAAGATTCAACCTAAACTGGGAACAAAATTCCATACTATCAATGCTCCAAAATCTAAAAGTATTTGCAATGTACTTGAAACCATGTACGGGTACATATTTGAATAAGTTTTGTTGCGTAACAATACCTCAGAGATTAGTGCTCAACAGTATGTATATCCTGGGATTTCAATGCACACACTTAAATTTAACCATTTGAATGTAACACGTTTAAAATTGTCTTCCAATTACGTTAGCATATGATACGCAGTCGAAATTCACGTTATAACGTTAAGCTATGAGCATCTGACTTGCAACCCTAGCACTTTTACAACTTCGCAGATTTCAACGATACAAGGGACTTAAGGATGTACTCTTCTGAGCTTTTAATCACGTTCAAGTCTCGTTTTGATCTGGTGTAACGGGTTTTTGTAATATTTAACAAAGTATGATCAAGTTTATTAGCAAATACGCATCTGAAAAATATGTCAAAAAAACTAGATGCCTGTTGTTTGTAGAACTTTTTTTACAAGAATTTAAAAAAAAAAAAAATACCAAAAGGCAAAAAAAATCACCTTCTTTGACGCTAGAATAATCACTCAAGTTGTCACTGTGTCGCAATCTTTGATTGTAGCAGGTTCAATTTGCTGTACAACTTTATAATGTTTTTCTTTTAATTTATTAAATATTAAAAAAAGTTTAATAGCAGAATTTTTTATAACAAGCGTTTAATCTGCAAAAAAATGGTTAAATAAGAGTATTTTTTCATTAAAACATAGGGGTAGTTAAAAGAATAAGATTAAGAAATTTTACTTCCACAATTTAAAAGAAAATAATATTTTCATCAATTCTACAAACATTCATACATATCTGATAATACACTTGAAAGAAATTGTATGAATTTTTTCCGCAAATGGTCAAAACCCAAAAAATCACCTAAAATTACATGTTGTGTTAAATTGGTATCTTTGGCCGATTATAGCACAAAAACGAACACACGGACATATTTTTTTTTGAATTTTCTACTATGCCATTAACTCCTTTTTCCAAATATCCATATAAGAAAAAAAAGTTTAATACAAGAATGTTTTGACTTCTCAGATGTGTACATCCTTAAGCGCTGAGTACAAAATATATACACAGATTACTGAACTAAAGTTGCCACATAATAACAGTTCTAAATCACGTGATACATCCATTTTTGTTAAAATAAACGTTTGCGTCACACTCTTAGAGGTAACCACAAGAGTCGGATACACACGCCTACAGGTAAATACCAATTTGGTGTCACACTAGTAGTGATATTCAATCACTGGTAACATTCTAATTTGCATTTACTAACCTGTACTATACACTGATATTCTCCACGTCCCTCCGCATATCTCCTTATGGTTTCCACCACAGGGGGCATTGCAGTCAGATTCAGGAGCCAGCGAGTGACGGTCGTGGTTGTCTCCGCAGTAACATTGGGATCGATACTGTAAAAACAAGAAAATGTATCATTTGTAATCAATATCGTTGGTATCACTTGTAACCATCACGGACGGCTGTCGAGTATCTGTTCTTTATAAATACTGTCATAACATGTATCTGTTCCCTCAGCTGTCAATGCATTGCTCTTTTTGGAAATTCTTAAATGTAAACAACTTCAGACAAATATAAAAATCGGTAGAAATGTTTTGTCTTTGATACAATGTATATAACAAATAGCTCTGCTATTTTTAAGATCTAAAATATTCAAATGAGTTCTATCCTTCCTACAGCGGGAAGGAACCAATCCTAAACTGTGGAATGTACATACACAGCAATCACCATGATGTTAAATAATAAGTATAACTATCATCAACTTTAACAAGAGAGACTGAAGTAGGTACCATCATGCTGTATAAAATAAAGTCTAATTGCATATACATGTATGTCTAAGCACAGGCTTCCATCCTGTACAGGCTAATTCACGTTTATTTTTGTAAAAAAGAAGGCTTACTAATGTATTATACAAGTAGATGCTCAATACTTCCAAGTGGTATAATAACAAAGGTCATCTACCATGAATTATTATGATATAGGAGCTGAAATTATTTTACATTATAATGATAGAAGCTAATTACTATTATACATTACAGTAACAGAGGCTAATTATAAATTATATTAAAGGGGGCTAGTTACTGTTCGTTATTATAAGACAGACGTATTACAACCGATAATATATAATGTTTATAGAGGCTAATCCAAAGTTAAACCTGTAGGGGGTTCTGATGAGGATGTATTGATATTATATTTCATTCATGTTAACTGAAATATTATTATTCTTACTTGTGTTCCAGCGAACCAGAATCCGAATGTTTTACATCGCTGTACACAGATCTCTGTGGTAAGATTGGGGTTGTTCTCAGAGTGTCCTGCTAATAGTCTGTCCCCCGCGTCCGTAAAACAACCGATGTAACCTCAACAAAGGACAGCGACCGTTAAACATGAGCATATCATCAATCAACAGACCATTAAACATGAGCATATCATCAATCAACAGACCGTTAAACATGAGCATATCATCAATCAACAGACCGTTAAACATGAGCAAATCACCAATCAACAGACCGTTAAACATGAGCATATCATCTTTCAACAGAAAGTTAAACATGAGCATATCATCAATCAACAGACCGTTAAACATGAGCATATCATCAATCAACAGACCGTTAAACATGAGCAAATCATCAATCAACAGACCGTTAAACATGAGCGTATCATCAATCAACAGACAGTTAAACATGAGCATATCATCGATCAACAGAAAGTTAAACATGAGCGTATCATCTATCAACAGACCGTTAAACATGAGCGTATCATCTATCAACAGACCGTTAAACATGAGCATATCATCAATCAACAGACCGTTAAACATGAGCATATCATCAATCAACAGACCGTTAAACATGAGCAAATCACCAATCAACAGACCGTTAAACATGAGCATATCATCAATCAACAGAAAGTTAAACATGAGCATATCATCGATCAACAGACTCAAATATGATCATATCATCGATCACCAATTGTGTCTAACTGCTGGTTTCCCTTTATTTATAAACATGTTTAACAATGCACATATACTATGTATGTCTTTGAATACAATATTAGCTGTTCACCGCGATATTGCTATAAAACCATACTGCAATAAAATTATTGGAAAGTTCAGAAATTTAGCTCTCATTTTTCATAATATAATCATTCAAGCTGAAATACAAGAAATTCATTTCATAAAACAGCAAACAATTACGGTGTTTTATACAATCATTTTGTCAGATATGGTTTATTATAAAGACATTTTCTGAATTGTCTGAAGTTTTCTCCCCTTATAATAATCATTAAAACCACAAATATAATAAAATATGAAGTAAGGGGCGGTAACCATTTGCCCTCGCCCTTCAGACAATGCTCACTGTTGTTGCTGATGTGTGCCACACCCTTTGCCGTGCTCCCTCCCGCGAAGCTCCCTTGCCATGTCCACTGTATGCTGCTGGCAACTGTAAATGGCGTTCCGGCCAAATCGATTTTGAATGTACCTCGGGGTGAACAATTTGGTTTGGCAGAAAACTTGTCACTTGCATATCCATACCTTTAGAGTCAAACATTCAAAGACATTAGATAAAATTACATTCTTAAATGTGTATGCGTTGCATATTTTTACTCTAATAGTACTCGTGGTACTATGAGGTACTCGTGTAATATGATAAAACCCCAAACGACCGAATTTTTTTAATCACCTCAAAACTTGAACAAACATGCCCATAAACATCATTGCGTTTCATAACAAAAGGTAATGTTTTTCCACCAATATTTAAGCACGTATATCTCTTTTCAAGTCATCATATATGTTACGAATATATATAATGGGATATGTATAAATATGTTAAACAAATATTGGGTCTTTGTGTTACATTGACCTATAAGACCTCCATACAGATATCTCCCCAATATTACATGCATCTGCAAACACATTACAGTGTAACTACATGTATTTGGCAGCATCATTATGATTAGAACCGAGAGCAAATAACGACACCTCAATGATGTGCCTAACAAGTAATACTCAATGATATGCCTNGTCCCTGTCTCTAACGAAACAGTCTGTACGGTTGGAGATATGATATTTACCTGTCCCTGAAGGTGCAGCCTGTGAGATTGGACCCAGGTGGACACTTTATCATACCACTGCCTTCTACATCAAACATAATTATATGGTCCCCGTCACCAGTTCGACAGGTTGTCTTTGGCTGAAACAGTGTGCAACATTATTCAAACATAGAACCTTTGCAAGAAAAACTCAAACAACTTACTTGGAAGTTTATCAATAGTATTTGTTCACTGGAGTACAATCTGACATCGGTTGTTTCTAGAGTAGAAGACCTAACATACACGTACTGTCCCTGTTACATGTACCTACCAAACTTAGATATGCTGATCGGAATGGTCTGCAGAGAACTTACAAATACTACACATAGCGGTCCTTTGCAACGTATGCAGGTTGCCTCTAATATTGTAAACAAAGTAAAAACTGCTGATCCCTGACATACTCACCCGCACTGCCCCCTGTGGTCCGTACACTTTACACCTGCCTCCCTTGAACTCAGCCCCGTAGCACCTTCGGTCACACGTACACTTCTCCGCGACCATACCACCTGGACACGTCACGCCCGTTGTAACAACCTCTATGCCAAGAACAAGACATCTGCATTTATTTATATGCATACACTGACAATATATTCATAACGATCCAATGATCCCAATGGGATTTAGAAACTGATTTCAATTGAACAGTTAATACATGTTGCATTATACTATGTACTAGACGATTCTGTCACTTGTTGTTTTTCCCGAAGAAGGATGTGAATTTGAGTAAATTCGAGTTATCAAAAGTAACCACGTTTGATCTTGAATAGAATACATCAGCATGATATCAAATATTGACAACAATTTATTTTTCATAGTGTAGCCTCGTAACACCCGTGTGTTACCCGCATAATCAGGGTTGCATAGAGAGTTGTGTTTGACGGCTTGTAATGCAACACAGTGCCCCGTGTAAACAGGGTAACATAGAGAGTCAAATCTGACACGAAAGACTAGCAGCGATGTAACACAGTGACCCTGTGTAACCAGGATATTACAGAGAGTTTAATCTGACACTTACGGCTAGAAATGTCACACAGTGACCCCGTGTAACCTGGGTAACAGAGAGAGGTTAGT